ACATTCCTGTCAAGAGCATCACTTATTCTTGGTACAGTTGAAATACGAATATTTTACACTAGAACATTTGTCTTATATACCGAAGACTCTCACTATGTGTTTTATATGGAGAATTTTTAATATTAAATCACTAAACAAGAAAAATTAACTTAGCAAAATGACACAAGATTACACTTCACATAGAATGAACCGAAATATTTACTATATTAAATTACGTACCCTTGACTGGATTCAAACGGTTTCGTTGGACAATAAAGCAGACTGTAAACGGATGGGGTTGTAGGCGCCCTTATAAACACAAACATTAAATATATACCAGGAACGTGCACGGTAAGCTGTCCAATATACAAAAACAGTTAGAAACAGAAATACAAATAGCTAGAGCTTCATTTAAGGAGGTTATTAACAGAATATTCAAGAGGTTGCTAGTAGAATTGCAGTAAATCAACCATTCAAATCATTATGAAGCTGTGTGTAGTCTGTGGTCAGTCAAACAAACGGGCTTCCACATGCATAAATTGCCATTTTTGTGGAAACTGGTGTCACGCCCCTTGTACAGATATCCAAGAACTAGCTACAAGCAGTATTAAAACAGGGAAGTGTTTTTGGGTATGCCCAAATGAGATAAATCTGTGGACTAAAATCACAAGGGTATTAAAAGAGGTCAACATCAAAGCTGCTTTCATAGAAAACCTGGAAGCTTTCTACAACAGATGGGAACATAAAAAGTCTGGGCTGAATGGTACTGCCCTTGATACTGGCCATGTAGTCAGAAACTGTAAGGCTGGAGATGATGTCCTGGTAGTCAGTAAATGTGGGGCTGATAGTGCTGTCCTGGGAGACAGTAATGGTGAAGCTGGAGGTGCTGTCCTGGGAGACAGTAATGGTGAAGCTGGAGATGCTGTCCTGGGAGACAGTAATGGTGAAGCTGGAGATTTTGTCCAGGTAGTCAAGAATTATACGCAGGAAGGAATACATATAAATGACCTCATAGGGGACAGGAGCCATAGTAGGGAAACAAGTGTAGTCAAAGATAAGATAAAACCAATATTGCAAACTAGAAATACCGCAGGAAATAGCAAACAAGAGGACTCCACTAGCAATAGTGAGGATATATTACCAAAAACAACTGGTGGGAGCTCCATTGTTGGTGCTAGGGAGGATAGAAGTAAGACAGGGAAACATGCACCAACAGGGAATACAGTCACAGAAACTCAAGGCAAACGGAAACCAAGCCTGTGCACATACTATGCACTTGGTATCTGCTGGCATGGGAAATCTGGAAAAACAGATGGGACGTGCAACTATGACCACCCTAGAAAATGCCATGCCCATATGACAACAGGATAATGCAAACTCCCTTCCTGTAAGCTTTTTCACCCTGAACTGTGTACCTCTTCAGTACAGGAAAGACTGTGCTATAACTTAAATTGCCAGGCATACCATCTAAAGGGGACAAAAAGATACAAAACATCCAGGCCATGGGAAAACCTGGGTAGCCACAGCCACTCAAGAGGGAGAGGTTTTTTAGTGCCAGGAAGGAAAAAAAACTGGCAGGAAATGGCAGAAATCGTACACCAAATCCAGTCATTCCTGGAGTGGAACCACAGTCGATGGCCTCCACTCCAAACCAACAGATACAGATACTAATGCCGGAAAAAAAATCCCCCCCCAGTACCAACAATACCACCAGTCCGATAACATTCTTCTTGGCAAATATACAGGGTCTAAGGCCAGCATCAAACAACAAAATACCTTTCATCTGTGGACTGCTTGCAGAGGCAAAGGCAATGTTCGTGGCTTTCACTGAGACCCACATAAAGGATCACTTGGACAACGAAATATGGATCCCAGGTTACAACCTATACAGATGTGACAGAGTGAACAGGCAAAAGGGGGGGGTTGGCCTGTGCATTGCAGAGTCACTTGTTTGCACAGAACTGCTAAATGCCTCAAATGATGTAGTGGAAGTTTTAGCAGTAAAGGTCGAGAACCAAAACCTAGTCATTGTGGTAGTCTACAAGCCTCCGCATGCAACGTCCCAGCAATTCCAGGAACAGCTGTTAAAAATTGACCACTGTCTGGAAAAACTTCCAGCTCCTGCACCCAACATCTTGCTCCTGGGGGATTTAAACTTAAGGCACCTAAAATGGAGGAATATAGCAAATAATATTGTTGCAGTAATAACACCAGGAGGCAGCTCTGATGAAAACTCACACTCACGCGAGCTTTTAAATCTCTGCACAAAAATTCAATTTAAACCAGCAAATAATAGAGCCTACTAGACTGGAGAATACACTAGACCTCATCTTCCCTAACAATGATGATCTGATAAGAAATGTCACCATATCAAAAACAATATACTCAGATCACAACATAATTGAGGTTCAGTCATGTATGCGCGGAGCCCCAGACCGACATAATGAGATTAGTCACGAGGGAGCATTCACCAAATTCAACTTCAATAACAAAAACAAGTGGGACCAAGTAAACCAAGTCCTAACCGATATAAGCTGGGAAAGATATACTAAGCAACACAGACCCCAACTTATGCCTAGAACAGATTAACTCGGTGGCACTCGATGTATGCACAAGGCTTATTCCTCTAAGAAAAAGGAGTAGATGTAAAATAGAAAAAGACAGGCGCTCCCTTTACAGGCGACGGAAAAGAATAACAGAGCGGCTAAAAGAGGTCAATATATCTGAAATGCGTAGGGAGACACTGGTCAGAGAAATAGCAAGCATCGAACTTAAGCTAAAAGAATCCTTTAGGAGTCAGGAATCGCGGGAAGAACTAAAAGCCATAAATGAAATCGAAAGAAACCCAAAGTATTTCTTCTCCTATGCCAAATCAAAATCGAGAAAAACGTCCAGTATTGGGCCCCTACTTAAACAAGATGGGTCCTACACAGATGACAGCAAGGAAATGAGTGAGCTACTCAAGTCCCAATATGACTCAGTTTTTAGCAAGCCGCTAACCAGACTGAGAGTCGAAGATCAAAATGAATTTTTTATGAGAGACAAAATTTGATTAACACAAGCCTATCCGATGTTATCCTGACGCCAAATGACTTCGAACAGGCGATAAATGACATGCCCATGCATTCTGCCCCAGGGCCAGACTCATGGAACTCTGTGTTCATCAAGAACTGCAAGAACGAGCCTTTTCCATCCTATGGAGAGAGAGCATGGACACGGGGGTCGTCCCACAGTTACTAAAAACAACAGACATAGCCCCACTCCACAAAGGGGGCAGTAAAGCAACAGCAAAGAACTACAGACCAATAGCACTAACATCCCATATCATAAAAAACTTTGAAAGGGTCCTAAGAAGCAAGATCACCACCTATCTAGAAACCCATCAGTTACACAACCCAGGGCAACATGGGTTTAGAACAGGTCGCTCCTGTCTGTCTCAACTATTGGATCACTACGACAAGGTCCTAAATGCACTAGAAGACAAAAAGAATGCAGATGTAATATATACAGACTTTGCAAAAGCCTTCGACAAGTGTGACCATGGCGTAATAGCGCACAAAATGTGTGCTAAAGGAATAACAGGAAAAGTCGGTCGATGGATCTATAATTTCCTCACTAACAGAACACAGAGTAGTCGTCAACAGAGTAAAGTCCGAGGCAGCTACGGTGAAAAGCTCTGTTCCACAAGGCACAGTACTCGCTCCCATCTTGTTCCTCATCCTCATATCCGACATAGACAAGGATGTCAGCCACAGCCCCGTGTCTTCCTTTGCAGATGACACCCGAATCTGCATGACAGTGTCTTCCATTGCAGACACTGCAAGGCTCCAGGCGGACATCAACCAAATCTTTCAGTGGGCTGCAGAAAACAATATGAAGTTCAACGATGAGAAATTTCAATTACTCAGATATGGTAAACATTAGGAAATTAAATCTTCATCAGAGTACAAAACAAATTCTGGCCACAAAATAGAGCGAAACACCAACGTCAAAGACCTGGGAGTGATCATGTCGGAGGATCTCACCTTCAAGGACCATAACATTGTATCAATCGCATCTGCTAGAAAAATGACAGGATGGATAATGAGAACCTTCAAAACTAGGGAGGCCAAGGCCATGATGACACTCTTCAGGTCACTTGTTCTATCTAGGCTGGAATATTGCTGCACACTAACAGCACCTTTCAAGGCAGGTGAAATTGCCGACCTAGAAAATGTACAGAGAACTTTCACGGCGCGCATAACGGAGATAAAACACCTCAATTATTGGGAGCGCTTGAGTTTCCTAAACCTGTATTCCCTGGAATGCAGGAGGGAGAGATACATGATTATATACACCTGGAAAATCCTAGAGGGACTAGTACCGAACTTGCACACGAAAATCACTCACTACGAAAGCAAAAGACTTGGCAGACGATGCACCATCCCCCCAATGAAAAGCAGGGGTGTCACTAGCACGTTAAGAGACCATACAATAAGTGTCAGGGGCCCTACACTGTTCAACTGCCTCCCAGCACACATAATGGGGATTACCAACAGACCCCTGGCAGTCTTCAAGCTGGCACTGGACAAGCACCTAAAGTCAGTTCCTGATCAGCCGGGCTGTGGCTCGTACGTTGGTTTGCATGCAGCCAGCAGCAACAGCCTGGTTGATCAGGCTCTGATCCACCAGGAGGCCTGGTCACAGACCGGGCCGCGGGGGCGTTGACCCCCGGAACTCTCTCCAGGTAAACTCCAGGTAAACGTAAATATCAATGCAAAACAATCACGGGGGGAGTTGAATGATAGCTCTAGGTCTTTTGTGTTGCAATTATACAGGTATGGGTGTTTGTGGGAAACGCTCAGGCTGCAGTACTAGGGTTGAAAACAGCAGATTACCAGGATGACCCAGGAATATGCTTAAAGACAATATTCAAAATAAAGTTGCTTATAAAGCCAAAGCAACTTGTTATTACTGTTCATGCTGTTGAGCAATGGTTTAGTGCTGATGGAGGTAGCGTAGGTAGCAATGATACGGCCATGGACTAGTTTGGCTTTAATTGGAAAGGAGTACACAACGGGCAATGTGAGGGAATGACCGATAGCCAGTCCGTGGAGGGGGGCACTTGTACCTCTCAAGTCGGTTGGCCGTGAAGTGAGGACGAATGGGCCCAGCATCCCACCGACCTGGGTAAGCCTACAGAGGGCAGCACTTAAATGCTGCGAAATATGAACTAAGCTGGCAGACAGCATAGGCTGTCTGCTGACAGTACAGACTGTCTACATTTGCTCGGCCATGCACCTCGTTTCGGGACACTGGTGGGCCCGTAGGTGCAAAGGAATTACTTACACTACCTACCCCAGAGAGGGACTGGCTTTCACTCACTTGTAAATAAAAAATGGACATAAAATGCAACAGGCAAAAAAAAAAAAAAAAAAAAAAAAAACTCCCATCCTGGGGTAGACAAAACTGGCTTGCCCACGCAGCTTCATTGACGAGAGAGTTCGGAGACATCAGCACTGGAACTAAAATCTTCTATATACAGGTTGTCTGCAGGGCTGAACATCAGGCTTGACTACTCATCTACGAACGCTGTTGCACCCTCACATCTGCAAACAATGACTGACAGTAGCATTTCCTAAGGTGTGACATGACTCGAAGGGCAGCACTGCCCTGACCGTAATACAGGCTTTAAAAGAGACACTGGGTGCACATACCTACAATAATACTATGTCCATGGAATTCATTATACTCTGGGTACCCTTCTAAAATTATTTACATATTTACATGATGTTGTCCACCCTGACTCCATTATCAACTAGCTGTACAATGTGTGCGCGTTTATACCTATTTCTGCAAGCAGACAATTACCATAACTAGCGTAAGAGTCAGACAAGTCAGTACGTACATCAATGTCACAGAAATGTACTGTTGTCCTGGGTCGCAGACCATAAGTATGGAGACTTACTGGGCCATCTTCAGTAACAGTAGTAGTAGAAGTAGACGGGTTGTCCCTAGCATTGGTCTGATTGTGGCATTGCAACGCACGCGACTCCAGCTCTGCTTTGGCCTGCACATGGTCCACATACTTCATGTGGTCAAGGTGGGCTTCTTTGATAGTTCCAGTAGCAATATCCCTCACCTCGAACTTATTGCCACGGAGCTGTCTGAGGACACGGTAAGGATCCACGAATTTTGGGACAAGTTTGTGCATACCTGGGGTCTGCCCTGGGTTGAGCAACATAACTTTGCAGCCTGGTTCCACTTTGCTTTCCTTGGCGTGGGCACTGCGTTCAGACGTGAACCTATCAGTAGCTTTCATAAGGTTCTCTCGTACCCGCTGAAAAACAAGCTGCGTGGTCTGCAACTTTACTACACTGGGGTTATCAGTATCGTAAGTAGGTCGAGGCGGAGCAAACAGAATTTCATATGGCAAGCGCTTGTCATAGCCATACAAAGCGAAATGAGGTGTCTCGCCGATCAAGCTGTTGAGGGAAGAGTTTAATGTACACTGAACATCTGGGATAGCCTCATCCCATGTAGTACAACTTGGGTTAACGGTTACCCTGAACACCTCAAGGACTTAGCGCTTTGTACGTTCAGCAAGACCATTACTCGCAGAGTGGCGTGGAGCTACTGGCGCTTGGTGAATATTAAATCTGGAACAAAGATCCTGCATTATGGCATTTATGAACACAGACCCATTGTCTGACAGAAGGACACGTGGGCAGGTATGATGGAGAACGACATGCTCACAGAAAGCATTAGCAACAGTCTCGGCAGTTTTATCAGGAATGGGTATTAATTCATTGGACCGCGTCAAGTTATCTACCATTACAAGCAAGTGCTTGTTTCCCTTCTCCGAGGTCGAGAAGGTCATCAACAGGTCGGCAGAAGTTCTCTCCCAGGGCTCCTTTGTAATAGGATACTTTAGAATGGGGTTAGGACCTGTAACGGTACCCCTGTGCTGTAGGCAAACAACACACTGGTGTACATGCTGGCAATGTCCACTGCCATCTTAGGCCAGAAATATTTAATTTGTGCCTGTTTGATACTGCGGTCCTTACCGGGGTGTGCTACACCTGGGACATCGTGGATCAACCTAAGAGTAGCTGGTATCGTGGACTCTGGTATAACCAATTGGTATATGGTTCTGCCGGGGTCCACCAGCTGAGCAACATGGCACAGTACTCCTTGATTGACCCCCAAATCCTGTAAGTCAACGTCCTCCTTGGTCAGGAAACGAAGGACTGGAGACCACACAGGGTCCTGCCATTGGGCTCTCTCAAGATCCTCAACAGAGAACGAGTTGTCGACACTCACGAATGCTATATACCTCGACAGGGCATCAGCTACAACATTTTGCTTACCTGTGACATAGCAAATTTCAGGGTTGTAGTCATTGAACGTGAGCGACCATCAAGCATGCTTTCCCCGAGAGGTTCTTATTAGCAAAAAGGGCCCATAAGGGTAGAGGATCTGCATAGATCTTGATAGGATAATGGTAGATGATATCCCAAAAATGACTCAAGGCCCATACAAAGGCTAAAGCTTCTAGCTCTGTCACTGAGTAATTGACTTCCACTTTAGCAAGGACACAGCTAGCATAGGCAATAGGCTGTTGCTTACCATTAGATTCCTGTGACAAGACTGCACCAATGCCAACTTTGCTGGCATCAGTCAAGGTAAATGCCTTGGTGAAATCAGGGAATCTAAGGGCTGGGGCTGATGTTAACTTTTGAGAGTGACAAAAGCTCGTTCTTTATCACAAGTCCACTCAAAAGGGGCATCCTTCTTGAGTAAGCATGGAGGAGAAACCTGCGATAAAGGTGCAGTAGAAACCCGCCAGGCCTATGAAGGACCGGACTGCATCCGCAGTCATGGGTCTGGGAGAATTTCTGCACGGCCGAGATTTTAGACTCGTCCGTCTTAATGCCATTCTGAGTCACTACGTGACCCAGAAATTTTATTTCCTTCCGGAGAAAATGACATCTGGAGAGCTTTACCCTAAGGTTTGCCTGAGCTAGCTTGTCCAATACCCTGTCTAGTTTCTCTAGATGTGTCGGGACATCTTGCGACATGACTGAGATCATCTAGGTTAACCACGAGCGTGCCGCCTAGGAGGGTACGGAAAATTGTCATCAAATGACTAAACGTGATTGGGCTTCCATGCAAGCCGAAGGGCATCCTCCTGAACTGGTAATGACCGGTTGGCGTAGAGAAAGCTGTCAGCTCTTTGCTCTCATCATCGGGGGGGATCTAACAAAAACACTTAAGATGATTAAGAGTTGAAAAGACCTTATTGTCACCGATGTTCTGCAACAGGTTGTTCAGAACTGGCAACGGAAAGTGGTCTGGGATTGTACATGCATTCAGTTTCCTGTAATCGATAACAGGGCACCAGGTTCCGTCTTTCTTGGGAACCAGAATGAGAGGAGCGTTCCACGGGGAAGTGGACTCCTAACTCCATCACGGAGCATCCTTGTAATAAGTTCTTCAGCGAAGACGCGCATGTGGCAGGCGATACGCAGGTACATACATAAATGGGTTTAGTACCTTTGTCAAGTGGAATACGGTGATAGATCAGTGGGGTCAAACCGATTGACTCACCAACTAGCGTGACTGCAGAACGTGCACGATTGAGAACCTGGAGAAGTTTTGGGACCTCTTCAGGATAATCTGTCATAGCTAGATCATCATCTGCACTGGCCAGGTGTCGGTAGTCAGCAGCAGACTCGCCTGGGAGAACTGCACTTACGAGGAGGTCAGCTGGGACTTCACCCTCCACTCTCACAGGGAGAGGGAATCTGACAATGTCGACAAGTAAGGTATTCTTCCGTAGGGGAAATTCTCGACTGTGCATGTTGAAAACAAGGACTTGCAACTTACCACATTGCACTGTGTGCAGGGACAGTTCAAGGGAGAGGCCCTTGACTCAGCACGTGTCGTTGTCAACCAGCACATGGTCTCCTTCAAAAGCTCTGCTCACATACACCATAACAGGAGTGAGCGAGTTAGCTGACAAAGTGACGTCATACTCTGTACAAGCAGTAACTCTGCTTGCTGATGCCATGACACGAGTCAGACAGTCGCCTGCCAACAGGGATACTGCAGCTTGACAACTGCTGTTCTCTACAACAGCGCCAGAGTTAGAGTGAAGGTTAGACTGGGCATCCCCAGACTGGGTTTCACTGGTAACTAAGTGCTGATGGCCAGGAGGTGACAGGCAACGAGCTCTACTACGAGGTCGATCAGGACAAGAGACCGACCCCGCAGAGAATGTGCTATGGAAACCATCGGTTTCCAACGATTCCAGACACTGTGCATACTCTTGAGACATAGTAGCACATAGTGGATCCTAAGCATACACCCCAGAAGGGCACATCCACTCCGTTGAAATCTGCTTTCCACTCAGCTGGAGCTAAGCGGATCCTAAGGTCTGCCGTGGTTTTAAACCCTATAAGCAGGTCACCAGGGAAAACAATATCATCTATGACTAAGAATTTTGCGGACAGCTTGTGACCCTGGACTGCAAATTCTAACTTTGTACGACCACGAACCATCAGCGGACTACCTGAGACTCCTCTCAAGGTCTGAATGACAGACGGCTCTGTCAACACGGCTGCATGAAGGCCAATGTCTCGGAAGAGAGTGGAACGGACGATGTTAACCACTGAACGTGTATCTAGGAAAAGCTGGGCAGGCTTACGGTGGACAGTGGACTCAACGAACAGTCCACACAGGTTGTCATACCGAACGTGAAGGCATGACAGGCCGACGAAATCCCTGGAGTCACAGCTGCTTGAGGCTTGACGCTTGTTGGCGAGGCTCAACCTGGAGGATATGGTAAGAGTCTCGACAATAATGTCAGGGCACTGTTTCCTCACTATCGGCAAGCGTATCACTGCCCAGGGCGGCGAACGCATTGTGGACAGGGACGGAATACAGCGACTCCGACAGGGTTACTATGTCTTTCGCTTATTTCTTGGCCACACCTCTTCCCCCGAACTAGTGGAAGGGCTTCTGCTAGCACGTGCATTGTGCGACGAATGCTTGCTCCACTGTGCTGATAGAATACTTCGCAGCTTGTAGCACTCATTAGAGGTATGACTGGAAGTGTTGTGATACATGCAAACTCCCTCTCGATACTGAGCCTGAGGACGGTGACGGTTACCTTGATACTGAGCATGGGGACGGTGATGGTTACCTTGCGGGGACTTAGGTTTGTAACATTCGGATTGGTAATGCCCGCGTTTGCCACAACTGAAGCAAGTCACCGTGCACTTAGCAGGTGGTGCTGGAGGTGGTGTGTGCTGGTGACATTTTGCCTTGGTCCAGGAAGTCTGTGACGGCTTCTTTGTTTGGGACCGACTGTTGTTACTTGAGTCACTATTTTTACTCGGCCGGCTGTAAGTAGAACTGGGGTTGGAAACTTTGAGGGCCGGCTGTCTGACAGCTGTGGCAAAAGTGACCTCCGGGTGCGCCTGCAGCATCACTGTGGACGATACTGGAAGGTCGGGTATAGGATCGTCTGCAAAGCGACAAACCTTGCCTTTCTCGGCAGGTGGCTTGATTGCATCAATGGCATCGTATGCATCCAGGACTGCGTGCTCAGGACCAAGCCCTAGCGCATCAATGGCGCGCTGGAGACTAGGGAGGGCATCCCTCCGCATGATGCCTACAGCTAGCATGGGGACGATGTCTTTAACCTTGATACTGTCGTCACCAGTCACCCACTTAGTGGAACGTATGGCATCACCAAAATCTTTGGCGGCTTGCTCAAACCGGCAAATGCAAGCCAGGGGGCTTTCGTGCCTGTACTGACATTCGACCAAGACACTGGTCAAGATCTCAAGGTAATGGCGACTATGCGAAAAATAGCGCCTTAATTCCTCCTTAAGAGCAACCCAAGACTGAATCTTACGAATGCGATTGAGCTGCACAAAGGCACCTATATCATCCTGGGTGAGATCCATTGCTGCAACAGCAGCATAAATGTAGTGTGCCTCAGAGGGACTATCATATTGAGCATTAACAGTCGTCTCGACTGACTGCAGCCATGGCTCTAACCTAATCGAACGACCGTCAAAAAGGGTCGGAAATGGACGATTAGCCGACCCACTAGTAGTTGAGACTTGAGCCATGATTTGACCAATTGTCAGGGAGGCTTCGCCCTCCTGCCGCGTGATCACGCTGGCTGAGGCACCACTGCCAGCGTCAGCAGAAACTGGACTAATGTTATGGCCACTGTGTCTGAGTCATGGCTTCAACTGTTCAAACACAAAGCAGATCATGAAGAGGGTAAACAGATCAGAGCAAGAAATGGTATGCACTGACTACAACTCAACACGGAGTCAGAGAGAACACAGCACCACGGTACTAGGTAAACTGCTTAGTGATTGAAATAATTTGAGCGAAACAAAAAAAATAGTGGTACACTCTGAAACACAAAATAAGAGATGTATGCAAGTAAATGAACTACAGGGGAGTACACAAAATGATGCTAAGGGTATTCAATAATTGCACCAGGAGACTAGCAACAAAATTTATGAAAAAGAGTTGAACTGTAAACACTGGTAGCAAAAATTGCACAAAATTTAAAATAAATCAGGTACTACACAACACTAAACTGTGCTGCAAGCTTTCTCAACATGCAGAAAAAGGTTGCAGGTGCTGCCAGTTGCAATTTGGAATGCAAAAAAAAAAGTAATTCACTTGCACCAAGGGAGGTTGACACAGCAAAGATATCAGAGTATGGAATAGTGCCAAAAATCACAGAAAAAAAAGTGTACTGTATCAAGAAATGCTATATTGCACACAAAAATTAATAAAAATGCAAATTATTAAATTCAATAATAGGGCAATGGTTAACTGGTGTTAGCAGGGTGTACACTGGTGTTAGCAGGGTGTACACTGGCAAAAGCAAAAATTACACAATCTCTGGATCAAAATTAATGAACTTCACAAGTAATTTTGGTAATTAAAGGTAAATAAGCAGGTTCCCAAAAATGCACTCTGACTTGGGCATATACAATAGCAAAATGCAATGCACATTGGTGAATATTCAGATAAAATATAGAATATAATGTAGAGCAAATAAATGGGGACACAGGAGCTAGGCACAGATTGTATCACTGCAGGTAGAATAAACAAACTAATACTTAAGAACTTGAAGACTACACTTTTAAAAAAAATACACACTAACAAACAAAACAGTGCAGGGTTGTCAACAATCTGTGGCTAACTTGCAGGTGCAACTATCAAAATAACAGCACACAGGAATTACTTGCAAACTGTATATGAAAGGTAAATTGTGTAAATGGTTAACACTGAACAATTTAAATCAATGACAACTGAAGTGCAAGATGCAGAATAATATGCTGGAATTTAAAATGCAGGAGTGCAAAATAAATGTGCAAAATTTAAGAAGCTGTAGGTAAGTGGCAAAATGTACAAAGTGTACACTGATGACTAAAACTGAACAATTTACTGAAAGTATGGCTTCAGCGACAACTGTACTGGTGCAGGACAGTAAAATAATGTCACAAAATATTAGGTAATGCTAGGTAAGTCACTGTTTACTTAACTGAGTGCAGGAGATGGACGAAGGTACAGGGTGCTGAACTTTCAGTGATGCACTGGTAACACTACACACCTCGTAGCATTTGTACGCTGCTATGGGGCTTCAATGACGTAGGAAAAATTATCAGAATGGACTTGGGAAGAACAGGTAAGGCCGGAGAACTCTGTGGAGAAGAACAAAGTGAGAAAATGTGGCTAGCTCGAGTGAGCCAGCGCTGTGCGTGGTTTGTTTACACTGGCAAGCGTGTCTGGGTGCGCTGACTGACTGCGGCTTCAGCACACTGAGAACAAAATCACTTACTGCACTACCTAACCGTGCTAAAAAAAAACAAAACAAAAAACTTAGGTAAAGCTATGAACTGGCACGAGGAGGTTTTACTGTAACTATGCACTGGGGAAAATCAAGAACTGGTGATGGACTGGGAATGTAACAGCAATGAAAAAAAAAAAATAACTGGGCAACAAAAACACTGCACTGGCTGAGGCTACGTAGACTGAGTGGTTGTAGACACACTAAAACGACCTCACCTCTACTTCTTGTAGATGAGAAGCGCGTAGGGACGCTGTAGGAGGCAGGAGAAGGGTGCTGGAGAGTGTTGAAGGGCTGTAGAGAGGGCGATCAGGTGAACAAGTGACTGCTAAGGCCGGAGATGACGCCGTGACGCCTATGTCCAGATTTTGTGGGGAAAATCTAGGACGAAGATCTATCTCAGGCCCCGTAAAGACGCTGGGAGTAACAGATAACTCTTTAGGCCAGCAGGTGCGTTGGATGACGACGGATGTTGACTGGCGTCGACCCCTCCACCCCGAGTAGGTTCACAATGCCGTTGACTCCGCTGTCACCACTGTTCTTGCTGTTGAGCAACGGTTTAGTGCCGATGGAAGTAGCAATGATACGGCCGAGGACTAGTTTGGCTTTAATTGGAAAGGAGAGAGTACACAACAGGCAATGTGAGGAATTGACCGATAGCCAGTCCGTGGAGAGAAGTACTTGTACTTCTCAAGTCAGTCGGCCGTGAAGTGAGGACGAATGGGCACAGCATCCCACCGACCTGGGTAAGCCTACAGAGGGCAGCACTTAAATGCCGCGAAATATGAACTAAGCTGGCAGACAGCATAGGCTGTCTGTGCTGACAGTACAGGCTGTCTACAAGCTGATCAATAAACAAAGAGAGATAGCAGAGGGCACCGAGTGACTAGATCCCTTAAGGTTTACTACGCAAATAGTAGGAGTCTAAAAAATAAGATAGATGAGCTAAAATTAGAAATGCCTTCTGAATGCAACATAAAGGGTTATAACTATTCTTCTTTGCAAATATACAGGGTCTAAAGCCAGCAACAAACAACAAAATACCTTTCATCCGTGGACTGCTTGCAGAGGCCTGGTGGTCTGGTGGCTAAAGCTCCCGCTTCACACGCGGATGGCCCGGGTTCGATTCCCGGCGGGTGGAAATTCCGACACATTTCCTTACACCTATTGTCCTGTTCACCTAGCAGCAAATAGGTACCTGGGTGTTAGTCGAGTGGTGTGGGTCGCATCCTGGGGGACAAGATTAAGGACCCCAATGGAAATAAGTTAGACAGTCCTCGATGACGCACTGACTTTCTTGGGTTATCCTGGGTGGCTAACCCTCCAGGGTTAAAAATCCGAACGAAATCTTATCTTATCTTATCTTAATGTTCGCGGCTTTCACTGAGACCCACATAAAGGATCACTTGGACAATGAAATATGGATCCCAGGTTACAACCTATACAGATGTGACAGAGTGAACAGGCAAAAGGGGGGGGGGGTTGGCCTGTACATTGCAGAGTCATTTGTTTGCACAGAACTGCTTAATGCCTCAAATGATGTAGTGGAAGTTTTAGCAGTAAAGGTCGAGAACCAAAACCTAGTCATTGTGGTAGTCTACAAGCCTCCGGATGCAACATCCCAGCAATTCCAGGAACAGCTGTTAAAAATTGACCACTGTCTGGAAAATGTTCCAGCTCCTGCACCCAACATCTTGCTCCTGGGGCATTTCAACTTAAGGCACCTAAAATGGAGGAATATAGCAAATAATATTGTTGCAGTAATAACACTAGGAGGCAGCTCTGATGAAAACTCACACTCACACCAGCAAATAATAGAGCCTACTAGAATGGAGAATACACTAGACCTCATCTTCACTAACAATGATGATCTGATAACAAATGTCACCATATCAAAAACAATATACTCAGATCACAACATAATTGAGGTTCAGTCATGTATGCGCGGAGCCCCAGACCGACAAAATGAGATTAGTCACGAGGGAGCATTCACCAAATTCATCTTCAATAACAAAAACATAAAGTGGGACCAAGTAAACCAAGTCCTAACCGATATAGGCTGGGAAGATATACTAGCACGTTAAGTGACCATTACAATAAGTGTCAGGGGCCCTACAATGTTCAACTGCTCCCGCACACATAATGGGATTACCAACAGACCCTGGCAGTCTTCAAGCTGGCACTGGACAAGACCTTAAAAGTCAGTTCACTGATCTGCCGGGCTGTGGCTCGTTACGTGGTTGCATGCCGCCAGCAAGCATCAGCCTGGTTGATCAGGCTCTGATCCAACCAGGAGGCCTGGTCACAGACCGGGGCCGCGGGGGAAGTTGACCCCCGGAACTCTCTCCAGGTAAACTCCAGCGTAAACGTAAATACAATGCAAAACAATACGGGGGAGTTGAATGATAGCTCTAGGTCTTTTGTGGTTGCAATTATACAGGTTATGGGTGTTTGAGGGAAACGTCAGGCTGCAGTACTAGGGTTGAAAACAGCAGATTACCAGGATGACCCAAGGAATATGCTTAAAGACAATTTTCAAAATAAAGTCTGCTTATAAAGCCCAAGCAACTTGTTATTAACTGTTCATGCTGTTGAGCAATGGTTTAGTTGCTGATGGAGTAGGTGTGTAGGGTAGCAATGATCGGCCATTGGACTAGTTTGGCTTTAATTGGAAAGGAGAAACAACGGGCAATGTGCGGGTATGACCGATTTAGCCAGTCCGGTGGGGTGGGGGGGGGGGCACTTGTACCACTCAAGTCGCGTTTGGCGTGAAAGTGAGGACGAATGGGCCCAGCATCCCACCGACCTGGGTAAGCTACAGAGGGCTGCACTTAAATGCTGCGAAATATTGAGAATAAGCTGGCAGACCAGCATAGGCTGTCTGATGGACTGTACAGCTGTCTACATTTGCTCGGCCATGCACCTCGTTTGGGGGACCACTGGTGGGCCCGTAGGTGAGCTCAACGAATTACTTACCACTACCTTAACCCAGAGAGGCGACTGGCTTTCACTCACTTGTAAATAAAAAATGCCACATAAAATGCAACAGGCAAAAAAAAAAAAAATAAAAAAAAAAAAAAAACTCCATCCTGGGTGGTAGACAAATCTGGCTTGCCCACGCAGCTTCATTGACGAGAGAGTTCGGAGACATCAGCACTGGAAACTAAAATCTTCTATATACAGGTGTCTGCAGGGCTGAACATCAGGCTTTTGACTACTCCATCTACGAACGCTGTTGCACTCACATCTGCAAATACAATGATGACAGTAGCATTTCCTAAGGTGTGAACATGCTCGCAAGGGGACAAGCCACTGTCTGACCTATTTACAGGCTTTTAAAAGAGACACTGGGTGCACATACCTACAATAATACTATGTCCATGGAATTCAGTATTCTCTGGGACCCTTCTAATATTCATTTACATATTTACATGTGTTGTCCACCCTGACTCCATTATCATACTAGCTGTCAATGTTGTGCGCGTTTATACCTATTTCGAAGCAGACAATTACATAACTAGCGTAAAGAGTCAGACAAAAGTCAGTACGTACATCAATGTCACAGAAATGTACTGTTTGTCCTGGGTTCGCAGGGACCATAAGTATGGAGACTTACTGGGCCATCTTCAGTAACAGTATAGTAGTTGAAGTAGACGGGTTGTCCCTAGGAATTTGTCTTTTGTGGGGGACATTGCAAACTGCCCGCGACTCCAGCTCTGCTTTGGCCTCCTTGAACATGGTCCACATACTTATGTGGTCAAGGTGGGCTTCTTTGATAGTTCAGTAGCAATATCTCCTCACCTCGAACTAATTGCCACCGGACTGTCTGAGGACACGGTAAGGATTCACGAATTTTGGACAAGTTGTGCATACCTGGGGTCTGCCCTGGGTTGAGCACCCAAATTTTTTTACTTTGCAGATGGATTCACTTTGCTTTCCTTGGCGTGGGCACTGCGTTCTGGACGTGAACCTATCAGTAGCTTTCATAAGGTTCTCTGTACACCCCCCGCTGAAAACAAAGCTGCGTGGTATCTGAACTTTACTACACTGGGGTTTTCGTATCGTACGGTAGGTCGAGGCGGAGCAAACAGAAGTTTCATATGGCAAGCGCTTGTCATAGCCATTACAAAGCGAAATGAGGTGTCTCGCCCGAATCAAAGCTGTTGAGGGAAAAGAGTTTAATGTCACTGAACATCTTGGGTTAGCCTCATCATGTAGTACAACTTGGGTTAACGGTTACCCTGAACACCTCAAGGACTTAGCGCTTTGTACGTTAGCAAGACCATTACTCGCCAGAGTGGCGTGAGCTACGGGGGCTTGGAGAATATTAAATCTGGAACAAGGATCCTGGCATTATGGCAATTTATGAACACAGAATCCATGTCTGACAGAAGAGGACACGTGGGAAGGTATATGGTAGAACGACATGCTCACAGAAAGCATTAGCAACAGTCTCGGCGCATTTTTCAGGAATGGGTATTAATTCATTGGACGCGTCAAGTTATTATACCATTACAAGCAAGTGCTTGTTTCCCCTTCTCCGAGGTCCGAGAAGGTCATCAACAGGTCGGCAGAAGTTCTCTCCCAGGGCTCTTTGTAATAGGTTACTTTAGAGAATGGGGTTAGGTACCTGTAACCGGTACCCTGTGCTGGTAGGAAACACACATGTGTACATTGCTGGCATTGTCCACTGCCATCTTAGGCCAGAAATATTTAATTTGATGCCTGTTTGATACTGCGGGTCCATTACGGGTGTGCTACAACTGGGAATCGTGGATCAAAACCTACAGAGTAGCTGGTATCGTGGACTCTGGTATACCAATTGGTATATGGTTCTGCCGGGGTCCACAGCTGAGCAACATGGCACAGTATCCCTTGTTTGACCCCCATGTCCTGTAAGTCAACGGTCCTCCTTGGTCAGGAAACGAAGGACCTGGAGACACAACAGGGTCATGCCATTGGCTCTCTCAAGATCTCAACAGATGATCGAGTTGTCGAACATCACGTATGCTATATACCTCGACAGGGCTTCAGCTACAACATTTTGCTTACACTGTGACATAGCTAATTTCAGGGGTGGTAGTCAGTGAAAGTGAGCTGACCATCAAGATGCTTTCCCGAGGGTTCTTATTGCAAAAAGGGCCCATAAGGGTAGAGGATCTGCATAGATCATTGATAGGATTATGGTAGTTGTTATTCCCAAAATGAATCAAGGCCCATACAAGGCTAAAGCTTCTAGCCCTCTGTCCAATGGTAATGACTTCACTTTAGCAAGGACACAGCTGACCATAGGCAATAGGACTGTCGCGTACCATTAGATTCTGTGACAAGACTGCCCATTGCCAACTTGCTGGCAATTCAGTCCAAGGTAAATGCCTTGTGAATACAGGGAATCTAAGGGGGGGCTGATGTTAACTTTTGAGAGTGCTAAAGCTCGTTCTGTTCACAAGTCCACTCAAAATGGTGCATCCTTCTTCAGGTAAGCATGGAGGAGGAAAGAAAACCTGCGATAAAGGTGCAGTAGTAAACCCGCAGGCCTATGAAGGACGGACTCCCATCCGCAGTCATGGGTCTGGAGATTTCTGCAACGGCCGAGATTTTAGACTCGTTCCGTCTTAATGCCATTCTGATAGTATACGTGACCAGAAATTTTATATCCTTCCGGAGAAAATGACCAATCTGGTGAGCTTTACCCTAAGGTTTGGTCCTGGAGCTAGTTGTCCAATACCTGGCTA